TTATTGAGCTAGGAAATTAGGATGTCATCGTATCTTTCTTAAAGAATTGTAATATGTTCATAACACAGTGAAAAATATAAAACAATATAATTTGATCTATTTGTGCTTTAAAATTATATTGCAAGTTAAATATTAAATTTAAAACATACCTAGCAGCGGGTTATCAAATTAAAATTATTCGAAAATACGAAAACTCTATACGTATCCACATAGCAGACCATTGTTAATCAACTCTTAGATCAATGGAATGTACAAATAAATTAAATAACATTTGTGTTAAAATTTTCGCACAAAATTTTAATATAATTAAAGAAAAATTCCCTCATTTTTTTTTCTTTTCCTTTAGTGTATGTGCGGCTAGGTTTTTTTTTCTCTTCTCTAATTTTTGCAATCACCACTTATATATATATATATCACATATATCTAGGTGGCATGGATAGTTATTAATTCCTATTTAGACTTTTTCATGTACAAATCCAAAATAATTTGGACTTTTCTTTCCAAAAATATTGTTTATCTGGCCGCAAACACTTTATGGTGAGATGAGTGATAGAAATAATATCCAATTATCTCTTTAGGATACTCAATGAATCTGTACTTATCAGATCTTGAGTCAAGTTTATCGATTTGCAATCTCTTAACATAAGCTGGATAACCCCAAACTTTAACATTCTTAAGGCTCGGTTTATGTCCTTTTCATATCTCATATGGTATTATAGAGACCGACTTAGTGGGTACTTTATTTAGCAAATATGCTACAGTTTTCAAAGCATATCTCCATAAATTAGTTGGAAGATCTGTAAATCCCATCATTGATCTCACCATATCTAATAAGGTTTGATTTCTTCTTTCGGACACACCATTGTGTTGTGGTGTTCGATGAGGGTCCACTGTGAGAGAATCTCATTCACTTTGAGATATCTAATAAAATCATCACTAAGATATTCTCCTCCTTTGTTAGACCGTAACACTTTAATGCTTTTTCTAATCTATTTCTCAACTTCATTATCGAATCTTTTGAATATTTTAAAAGACTCATATTTATATTTCATAAGATACACATATCCATATTTTAACATATCATCAGTGAAGGTGATAAAGTAAGAATATCCTCATCTGGCTCGAATTTTTATGGGCCCACAAACATTAGCATAAATTAGTCACAATAATTTAGAAGCTCTTTCTCCACTTCTAATAAATGGATATTTGGTTATTTTTCTTTTGAGACAAGATTCACAAGTTGTATATGATTCATAATCATATTTGTCAAGGTAACCTTCCTTGTACAACTTGCTTACTCTTTTCTCTCTAATACGATCAAGCCTACAATGCCAAAGATTTGTATCATTTACTTGATCATCTATTTTTCTCTTAAGAATAGAAACATGCAAAATTGAATTTTCATTCATATAAGGTAAGACATAAATACTATGTTGGAAATAACCATTTGCATATAAATCATCATCATGATAAATAGAACAACTCTTATTTTTCAAAATAATATAAAAACCATGCTAGTCCAAAACAGATACTGAAATTATATTCAAAATAAATTTAGAAATGTAATAACAATCCTCTAACAAAAGTATTTTGCCCGTAGGCATCCTAAGAGAAATTGATCATACAGCTATGACCTCAACTTTTCCACCATTCCTAACTTGAAGCTTAATTTCTCCTTTCTTCAATCTTTTATTAATTTGCAATCCTTGCAACATATTGCAAATATTAAAATGACTACCTGTATCTAATACCCATATAAATGGATTAATAGAAGTTAAAGAAATCATGAAAATACTTTTCATTGAGATCTCACCTTATTTCTTATCTTTCATAGATGCAAGATACTCCTTGTAGTTTCTCTTATAATGCCATTTTTTCTTGCAGAAGAAATATTCAACATCATATTAGTCAGTTTTTTCCATTAACATATTGAGCATCTTATGGAGATCATAATCCATTTTATTTATGTTGAAATTAATAATAAATTGTGAAAAAAACTCAAATAGTGACTACAAGATCAAATCTTAGAAAAGCTCTTTACCCAGTATACACTTTAATTTTTGAAGTTCTTCAATAAGATCAATCATGTTCAAAACATGGGGCCTAACTAGAGAGTTAGCAGTCAACCTGGATCCAAACAGGGAATTAGATAACTGGTATCTAGCTGTCCTATTTTGTGCATCATACATCTTCTTAAAATGATTGATGATTGCACGAAAATTCATATCCTCATGTTTCCTCTAGAGTTCAGAACTCATAAAAGTAAGAATAATGCATTTGGTAGTAAGATAATCTATCAGATATTTCTGAAAATCCCTTGATTGCCTTAGCATCATCCTCAGGTGGGGTCTCTCTATTAAGCTTATCGATCATATCAATAAGTTTTTCATGCATGAGAACAATTCTCAAGTTTCGATACTAGTCATCATAATTTGGTCCAACCAACTTATTGACATCAACTATGTCATGCAGTGATATAACAGACATATTGATACATTTGAAATCAAGAAAAAAAAATATAAAAATATAAGAATACATTTACATATATCATAAAGAAATAAACTTTTATCTAAATGATATTTTCACTAAATAAATCACATAATTTTAAAAATCTATATTTCAATTTAGTAGAATAAAAGAATCCTCTAATAATATGAATGAACCCCTAATAGTCAAGTCGATTCTTATACATTTTAAATGTAGGTACTCTTGCCGATTGTATCCCTATATAACTTTCATAAATTACTTTATATCAAATAATCTCCTAATTGTCAGGTCGTTCCTATTAGTATAATTGAATTCAACCATTATAATGACAAATAATTAATAAAATTTTATATTTTTCTGATAGTCAAGACAATTAATATAAAATTAAAATCATTAATTCTATATATGCATCTTATACAACAAATAACTTTATTTTATTCTTGAGTTATAAGTTTTATGGTTGTCAGACTGTTCTTTGTAAATAAAAAATAAATAAATTTAT